CTACTGCCAGTCCCAAGCCCAGATAAAGGAGGAAGGTTGGACGTAACGTTAACCACCACATCCTGTAGAAAACTAACTCGTTAAAAATACGCTAACCACAAAAATTTATTCAAACCTTTTAAACTCTACCCTGAGAGTTAGAAAGTCATCATTTAGGAGAGTTATGACACCTCATGGTGAAATCTTAGTTCCTTCGGAAGTCACGAGTCTGATGTCCCTTATGACAACCAGAGCAACCATTTATTTAGATACATGAATTGCTCGTACAATGTCGGGTACCGGGAGAGTCTTCCAAATTTCTGCAGAAGTTTTATGTCATATAATGATGACGTCATGAATTTCTTTACAATAATTTCTCACTAGCCTCAAACAGTTATGTTTTTTGCCATTTTAAAACATGTGTAATTATTTGTTAAGCTAACAATTTGAAGTCTGTTAATCTAACCGAGATTTATATTTTTAATGAGTTCATGAATAAGATTTGGTTTATCCTTTGAAGTCGTATCGCTTTTCAATCAGAAATAACTGTTTAGAACAGTTATCAATTACATTTCTACAAGCCAATAATTATCTCTAGGTTGAAAACAGGTTAATGTATTGAAATTTCGATGTAAATATATTGTAAACTACTTTGTTCAACGACATTATAACTTGTAACTTATTTTGGGGGGACTTCTGAAAGATATTGATTTTAAATTTATTAATATCTATCTATGTTTCAAAGTAATTAACTGCAAGCTTGTCTTCAGTAATATTTGACAATATCAATTGAGTTTTTTTAATAATAATGATGAATTTATTAAATTAGTGACAAGTTCATCATAATGATAATTTAATAACCAGACCGATGTGTAAACTTTCCTCTTGTAATTTTTTGTTTTATTTTGTTTGAATGTCACAATGTACAGAAATTGGATAAAAAATTTTGAATGCCGGCTCAGTGGTCTGGAGTTTAAGCACTGAGACTGATAGGTCCTGAGTTCGAATCCTGCGCGGTGGGATAATGGATGTGCACTGCTGAGGAGTTTCACAGTAGGACGAAACGGCCATTCAGTGTTTCAAGGCTTTCCATGGTAATCTAGCTTTAATTGACTCATGATCTTAACCATTGAAAAATCTTGTCAAATTAATATTTAAAACCTTTTTTTCTATTTCATGTATTTAACTGCTAGTTTGTTGATTGAAATTACTTAAAATTGTTATTTATATATACATAACCACGTATTATTTTGCATATATGAGTTATGGCTTGTAATGGAATACAATACACATTTCGCCTCATTTAGTATTCGTCAAATAGTCTAACCAAAATCAATGTGATGATATATAAACTCTAACTACCTTTCACTTTAAACATTAACGTGTTATGTATTGAGCAAGTGGGTTCAAATGGGTACCAACGTGTTCATATAACAATAGAGACCTATCACTTGTAGTCGTGATTATCAATAATCAAAAATTAAAAGCCTTCAATAATAAAACAACATGGTTTCGAATACCTCTCGATATATAGTGATCTCTGCGTCTAATTATTTTATAACTTATAACTTATTTAATTAGACAGTATGCTAAATGGTTCCAAATTGTTCACTAAGCAGCAAAGTTATTTTACTGATTACCATAAATATGTTTCGAGTGAATGGACCTGGTTTCGAGAAAACCAAAAATACTATTTATAGATTTCCCTAATCGCACTGTAGCTATCTTATTGGTTAAAATGAAGTTTTTTTTTGCTATATCTTGCTAAATAAGTCAGGTATCGTTCCCAATTATTTAAATAAGTAGTATTTTTCTAACAAAATATTTTAAACTTTAACATAAGAATTATATTGAATTAAAATTTTGTAATTTTGCATTTTATCTAACAATTACAGTCTATACATTTAAATAAATAATACATTTTTAATATCCAAATGAGTAAAAAAATTAGATTTTCTGACGTTTAGTGACTTAGTGTAACATATATACATTCTTATTGTATAACTATTCAGTAACTAGATTATGCATATCTATATTCCTCCTATTATCACGACCGTTGTTGCTACCTTGACGTAGTGGTCGGGCTTGCCTATCATGATGAAGCAATCGAGCTATACTGGCTTTAACAATTGTTCCTCAAGGTCCTACCATCCCAGACATGTCGGTTGAAGAACGGTAAGACTAAAAGCAACAAACTCAAGGTCCGAAGGCGAAGTCGTACTGCTGACTGTACAGTGGTGTGATAACAGTAAGGTGTTTCCTTCAGACGACCAACATAAAAGCGATACTGCCTTCCCACAAGGAAGGGTGGTGTTAGAATAGGTCGACCCTAAAAATGCACATCTCGTCTAATTCCAAGGATATCCGTCTCCGGCGGTAAGGTCTCAAAAAGTACGGAGCTAACACGAAAATTACTCACAAAATGTCGTGTGTGACCGACCTCAGGCAGTTGTCCCTTGGGCACTGCGGTCACGCTCTCAGGTCACTAAGACCACCTTTAATCCAATTGCATTTTCAGGTACCTCCAGAAGAACCCTTCCACGGTGTGGGCAACCGGGAAGTGATAACCGCTCTCATACCTATAACAGCACTCAAGACCACTGAATTCATAATCAACCTCCCTCTTCAATTCCTATTATTTTTCCTCTTATTATAGGCTTCATTTTTATCCATAGATTATTATTATTATACGATTTACTGTTGCAAAGTTATGTTCATTTTATTGATTACAGTCTCCTACGATCACAGCCACTTTTTCGTTTGATCTTATATAAATGTTATTTTTTATTTTATGGTGTAATGCGGTCTGTTTGGCTTGTATATATACCAAGTATGTTTGAAATACATTATTCGCATAGTGGAAGTTGTTAATGGCGTTCTGGATTTAACTGGATGGGTTAGGAGAACAGAAGACAAATTAGGACACTAGGCTGCTCATACCAGTTGAACGTCATTGATTTAGCACAGTACTAAGATTGAATAAGTCGTATTTCGATTGGCGAATAAATCACGTGATAACTACTCGGGCTTTAAATACACAACAAATTGGCGATGGGGGTTTCGTGAAAAAGAATGCACAACAGATATTGTAATCTTCATTCACTTAAAACGAGAAGAATACATAAATGGTTTACCGTAAACGTTTTTAATATAATTTATAGGTAGATTGAAATTCTAAAATATACTATGATATTTCGCAATTTATGTGTACAACATGGCATTTGTCAACACTATTACAATGGATAAATACATGCTGATGATATAATATATAGTTCGACATAATTTACTCGTGGTACCTATGTTTCATATTAATTAGTGCAAATCAAATAAACTTTTATACAACCTTCATAAAAGTAATGTTTCTCGTGGTATTTTTACTTAGGACCATAGTATAATTTGACTGATACAATTTAATCAGAACTAGGAATTAGACAAATATGTTATTGGTTACTATATAGTAATGCATTAGCTCTCAGAGTTAATATTATGTAATACAAAGTGAAATAAATAGTTCCAAAACTGGATCATCAAACAGTAGCTAAAATACATTAATTTAACCAGTATAGTTATTTTGGAAACACATTTAATGATTTCAATAGTAAACTATGTAATTGTCATTCTAATTTGTAATTTGGAAAACACTACCAATAAACTCCTAGAAGATAAAATTATACCATAGATTCCTATTTAATACAATTGTTTACCTATATTTTTAAATGCTTTTGTTTACTGAATTCAGACATTAAAATCTAATTAGAATTGTAAATGAGTAGAAAAATTAGATTTTCTAACGTTTCGTGACTTAATGTAAGCCACTTCTTCAGAGAATAAATAACGAAATCAAAATTTAGTCAGAATATCTCACTTTTCTACTCATCGAGATATTACAAATATATTTATTGATTTATTTATAACAATCTACCCGATGCTGAATTTATTCGAAATTATCAAGTCAAACCTTGATAATGATACTTATAGAATTTAGAACAACATATATAAGCGAACAATATTGTTTTCGATTGGATCCTCATCAGGCTTTACTTTAATATACAGTAATATTTATATGCATATACGAAATTACTAAACCAATCAAGGTAGTTTAAGAGACAATGGTAACAATGAAAACGATTACGTAATAATTGAAAAGTACAAATTGATAGTGTGATGACAGGTATACTAGTTTTTATAAGAATAATAAAGGCTCAAATGAATGTTACATAATAGGAAATAGGTCAATGATTAGAAAAATATAGATAGTGAGATAACATTTATAAAATTATAAGATGACGTAATAAGAAGTGTTCAGATAGTTGAACCGTGAAATGTATATTTGAGAGAAAATAAAATGGTAGGAGGGGTGGAGAAAAAAATAATAAATGTACAGAAAGTTTGGAAAAATAATAAATAAATTCATTTATTACGGCTAAGAGAGAGATGAGGGTGTTACAAATTTCTTCTGAACACAAAGACTTGGCTTGTTGGCTCGAATTCCTATAACTTCTGCTATGTGTAAGAGACGAGATCGAACACTATATGGAAAACTAATGGGAATATGATAAATAACTCTAAATGTCCACTACATGTCCGCTATCGATCATTAACTCATAAACTACCTTGATTGATTTAATCATTTCGTATATACATATAAATATTACTGTATATTAGAGTAAAGCCTGATGAGGATGTAATCGAAAACAATATAGTTTGCTCATATATGTTATTCTAAACTTATAGAATTGCAAAGTTATAAGTAATAAATTAAGAAATGACAAGTGATAGATTAACATTGTAGTCTACAATTTTGTTTATTTCACGTAAACTGTGTTATTTGTTTTGTTGACTAATTGAATAGGCTGTTTTAAATATTAAAAAAACTACAATGAAGATGTCATAATAAATTGTAGATAAAATTGTAAACAAGAATGACATAATTTACCATTTTAATTTTCGAATAAACGTTTAATTAATTCATTCATTTGGAAATGTGAACAATGTTATAATTATTATTTATTTTAACTTACCCATCTTAATAATTTCAATGATCGTGAACCACTTGAACGACAACGCATACCAGGTGGCCAAGAACAAGAATGTGTATTAACACAAACACCACGTTTAATCCATCTAGGCCAAAATAATGGTCCTAAATCTTCCCATATATATTCCATAGTACATGTTGCACGTTGTAATAACCAAGTTTTTATTATATTTATTTGATCATTAGTCATTTTAATTGGATAAATTAAACCATCATTATTTATTGGACGAAAAACAGTAAAATTTAATTCATCTATAATATTTAATAAATGATTATCAGGTTTAGGAATATTTGATAATAATGTTGAACGCGTACTTTTACTAGATAAACTTTGTAAATTAAATGGATTTTCTATAGACATCCAATTATATTGTAAATCAGATCCAAGAATACGACGTAGTTTACGTATTGATTCAATAGTAGAACTTGGACGTAATTGAAGTAATGCTTTACTATCTATACGTTCACCTAAAACATGTATATCAACTCTTTCAAATTCATGTGAATGTTCTGGTGGCCATGAACGATCTTCATTAATTATAGAATGTTTTAAAATATTTGATGGTAAAATTAATGAATTTTTATTAATATTATCAGATGATTTAACAATAATTTGAGCTCTTTGATTAGTTTCAATTAATGAGTTTGATTGATTAGATAAATCTGATTTTTTATTGATTTTATATTGAATATTTTTATTAGATATTATTGATGATGTTGATGATGGTAATAATTGAGATGATGCTATAGCTTCAGCTTGTCGTGTTAATATATCACTTACTTTCACATTAATTTTACGTGAATAATCTGTATTATATAAATCATTATTTAATTTTTGTGTAATATATGATTTATGTGATCCACCAGTTGTTATAATTGCATATTTTTTTGATAAATTTTCATGATTTAAATTATTTAATTGTTGATATGTATTACAAATTAATAATAAAATTAAAATAAATGTATAAAATGATAAAATTGAACTTTGAATATTAAATAAATGATATAAAACAATGGACATATTTAAATTTTAATGAGAAAGTTGACATAAGAGTTTTTTTGTTTCGTTATTTTTTTTCTCTTTTTATAAATAAAATATTATTGTTTAATATGAATTTAAAATTTGCGGTATATTTTTGTTTGTTTGTTGTATTACTTTGGTTTCTTATGATTCAAACTAGAAGATAAAAGTTGTTTTATTTTGTTTTTTTCACTTTTATAGTCTTTATTATTTATCTATTCAATTGGTTATGTTTAATTCAATGTTCAACAGACTGGAATATACAAATACATTTCAATTATTCCAATATTCGAAGATATTGAGGCACAGAAATCACTTATTTGACTAAGTTTCTATGTTAGCATATGTGTATAAATACATTTCAGTGTATGTTTAGACAGATTTGTTTTATCAGGTTAACTTTTAAATTGTCTAAAATAATCATGATTCGAAGTTTGTCTATAATGTGTTGGTCAGACGCTCATTTCATGTATGTGTATGTATGTATATGCATGTATGTATGTTTATAACTAAAATGAATGATTATTATGACTAGAGGTCAGTAAGAATAAAATAATAATCTTTATTATTTCATCCATTCCATGTTATAGATTTTGTCCGAGGTTATCACCAAGTCATTCGGTTTTTGTTTTGTTAAGATAATCACATTGTTTATGTGTCTATACGTATACATATATGCACATGTTCATATAGGTAAGTGAATGTATCAATAGTATAATTCGATATCCTTTTTACAGCACATTATATAATTATTAATGAAAGTGAAATGTTGTAACACACTGTTTAAAGTAATTCAAGATAAACATGTTTAGGAAAATAAAATATACCAATCAAAAATGATTGTAGTACGAATGTTGAGCGAAACGGCCGTTTAGTGCTTCCAGGTTTTCAATTGACTTCAATTGACTCATGATTTCAACTATTAAAATTCTTAAAATCTCCACAAAACCCCTTATGATAAATGAATTATGTTAATGTAAACTTTGATTATTTAAATTAAATATTAAAAGAACGGTTTTATACATAGATCATGTATAAATTTCAAAAGAAAAACAAAAATCTACATTAGGTTGTTTTAATTGAAAACAAAATAATATGCATATGTAATTGTTGAATGAAAATATACAGCACAATATTTGAATATATAATTGATTTGAACACATAAATATTGATACAGAGGGGCACCGAATACATATGCACCATCCAAGCCACTTATAGAGTTATTAGTAAATATCATCATTTTCGTCTCCAATTGGTGTCACGATCTTGAAACACCGACTTCGGTGGCTCGGATATGTTCTACGAATGTCATCCTAGAGAATTCCACGTCGTGTATTATTTACCGACTCTGGGACTGGTTGGAAAAAGCTCAGAGGTAGTCAGTGTATGACAAGGTGTCGGGGAATGAAAGAAAGCCGCAGAGGGCCGGCTCGTGTTGGTCCTTCACGACCTCCAGGCTGGGGTCCGAGAGATGGTGCGACACAGTGGCTAGAGACGTTATCAGATATGGCTCAGAATAGAAGCCAGTGGCGATCCTGCTGTAACCTTTTTTTACTTTCCTCATAAAAAGTGGTTGCTCCTTCCTTAACTGTAAGATTTCTTCTGATTGTACCTTTCCGTTTTCCCTATTATTATTATTATTATTATTATTATTATTATTATTATTATTATTATTATTATTACACTTCCTTACACTAATCTGGTCGTTATTGTTCCTCTTCTTTTTTTCTTTTATGCAACTTACCTTCTTTTTTCTCTCTCCACATTCTCATTGTTTTGTGTGGCGCATATATGTTTGGTGCCCTCTTGTACTAACATTTATGTGTTCAAACAAAAGAAATGAATAATAATACCAGTCACTTGATTTGTGTGTGGACTATGATACTGCCCGGGTGCCCGAATCGAAGCAGGTGGTCTCCTTAGGGAACTACACCCGGAGACTTTGACCTAAAGGTTTCACCCACAACACAGTGGAGTAACCTATGGTAGCTGGTGACCAATGATTAGTTCATTCGCCATTCGATCCTTCAGGATCCTAGAGTTCATGTGTGACTCATGGAATAACTAAGGAACATTGAACTTGATTGTTATTAATGTATTGATCACTCACTGTTCAATTCGTTAGTTGGATACAATCAAACAGATCAATTTAACCCATACTGTCATTGAATGCTCTGGTTTGGATAGCAAATACCAGAATCGATTTTCTGAAAATCTGTATAGACAAACGTAAATATTCGAGACCATTTTTCAGATCAATTTAATAAACTATTTTGCTGGAAAAAAAGTACAATTTTTAAGTTAAATGATTCTATAATTATTATCAGAAGAAGGTTTTATGAAGATTTTTAGTAATTTAATAGTTGAATTCATGATTCGATTGAAGCTAGACAACAATGGAAAACTTGGAAGCATTGGACGTTTATAAGACTACATAATTATCATGGATCGTTAAACTCTAATAAATTATTTATATCATTTATTATTTACTTATCCATGCACAAATTACCATCGTGAGACATTTTTCATATTCGCTTTGATTATTCTCTCAATGTGCCAATTCCCTTTACTTCACTTTTAAAGATATTAAAGGGAGGCATATTTAAACATGGTAATTGTTGTCTTATTCTAATCACTCTTTTTATCTCTACAAGGAATCTCTCTTGCACTACTTTTTTTCCTGATCAACTTGAGCAAACTGATGAAGACAATCAAGAGTTATAAGTAGTGTTAAAGAAATTGAAACTAGGAGTGTTTTACAGCACGATAAAGTTATATCATCAAGTTACTTATGTATTCATTCCATTACCAAAAGTCAAGTTTTATAATTAAGTCTATAAACTGAAAACAAACAAAAGGTTAAGGAATTATGTGACATGATTCATTCAAATCATAATGTTATATGCTTGATTACATAGATATTTTGTGTTGAAAAATAAAAATGATGATCTTGTAGGTATCATTACCAACGTTTGACATCATAAGTGCGAATAAATTGAACATTGGGTAGATTGTTGTAAATAAATGAATAATATATTTTTAAAATCCCAATGAGTAGAAAAATTAGATTTTCTGACGTTTCGTGAATGAGTGTAAGCCACTTCTTCAGAAAATAAATAACCAAATTAAAATTAATCCAAGTTTAAATAGTACAACCGAACAACATAAATATTATTTGATCAATCCAAAAAACAGGTCTGAATCATTGGATCGATCACATAATATTTTTGTTGTTCCGTTGTACTATTTAAACTTGGATTAATTTTAATTTGGTTATTTATTTATTCTCTGAAGAAGTGGCTTACACTCATTCACGAAACGTCAGAAAATCTAATTTTTATACTCATTTGGATATTACAAATATATTATTTATTTATAAGAATGCTGATATTCGTGATTAAACCGCTTATCCTTTACTTACTAAAGTAACCTGTTCGAACTCTGGTTCATTTACTTGTATTTTGATAACTGAATAATACTATTGTATATGATACTGAAATTTGAGAATATCAAATTTGTACATGGTGAATTATATTAATAATAATAACATTTAGAAAATGAATCTGGTTTTTTACAGTTATCCATAAGAAGAATTCTGATCACATTTTAACAATAACTAATTAAACTATCCATTTAAAATTAAAAATAAATCACATTAGAATTAAAAATAGGAAACGGATTATTTGGTACATCTAAATAAGAAACTTCATAAATTATTTATTGTTTCTTTACAATTAATACTGTAAACTCTTCAATGTAGAGGAATACATCCAAGTACTGAACTGATTGGTAGGAATATCATAAATATTGTAGGATTAAATTCACATGGTGTTGTTTATTTGTCTTCCTATTGTGATTTAGGACTGTAATTAATCAGTCTCTTGTTGGTGCATCCTGTATGGACTACCTTGATATCGCCTTACGTCACATGCTTTATAAGCAAAGATGGATAGCGGATAGCAGTGGAATCCATGATGCGTGTTTCGCCCTTATTGGGACTCGTCAGCGGGATGTACCTGCATCTCAGTGTTGATGTTCACTCGAACTCAGTACCGTTCACTTCAAAAGCCATCGCGTCATCCACTTAACTACTGAGTCCTGATAGCCACTTGCTTGTGTAATGGAGTGAATTTTAAATTCATTTGGTGTTATTTACTTGTATCTTCCTATTGTTATTTAGAACTGCAATTAATCAGTCACTTGTTGACATATGTACATCCTGTGCGAACTGCCTTGATATTACCTTAGATAAAATAATTTTATTCAGACTAATTTATTTGAAGAAATTTCATGAAACAATAACGTTGATTTTAATTAACCTAACAACAAAAACAACAAATACGTATTACATAACAATCATTGATACATTTCTTTTCTATGACCTATTATTAAATAAACTGTCTAGTTTAAAATGATTATTTCTAATTTTATCAGGAATGATATCATTGAAAATTGTCCGATATTCAGAAATTAACATAAAAGCTTATTAATTAAAAGACTAAGTACATCAAATAATATTTAAATTAACTCTGAAAAAATATATCTCAAATGTATTGTCTTAAGTAGCACATTGTGAAAATTATAATGATGACAATACCAAGATAATGAAATGAGTTAATAAACTTTCTAACTGTTTACTTGATGTATGTTAGACATTATGATTGACTGGATAATTGTAGTTTATCATTATAGATCTCAAGTGTAATATCTTGAAATCTATGGCAATCACTTCCTAATATCGATTATAGAAACTTGAGCAGTTACACTTTTATAGGAAGCTTTATGTTAATTCATACTTAACTAATCAAGACATTTCGAAACGACTATAATATAACTAAATGATAATATTGAAACAATTTAAAACATAAACTAAACTTTATTTAAATAAAACATAAAGTTTACTAAATGAATATTTCATTAAATTCTATGAACTACTAATTAAAATGAAATGAATAAAGGTTAATAGTTACCATTGTTTAAAATTAATAAGTGTTTTTCATTATTTTAATTTACACATAACTATATATTTATGAAATATTATGAAGTCTCACAATAGGATGAAACGGTTGTCCAATGCTTCCAGGTTTTCCATAGTAGTCTAGATTCAATTGAATCATGATCTTAACTATTGAAATTAATTTCTGTTGAAATCTATGGTATTCTGTTCATATTTGAATATATTTTATATTGTTTCTAAGTAACATTTTAAAAAATACCATACTCATTACTTCATTGAGAAGAATGTCAAATAATTCAAATATTTCTTATCTAATTAGATATTTAAACACAAAACAGTTTCAACGTTCAGTATTAAATCAAGGGTATTGCTTTTTAAATTTTATAGTTGAATTCATGAGTCAACTGAAGCAAGATCACTATGGGAAACCTGAAAGCACTGGATGGTCGTTTCGTCCTAGTATGGGATTCTTCAGTACTTTGGATTTAAATATGCGAATATACAGCAATAATTCCAAAGAAACAATGTTATGAGTGAATTTATTATCACTGTCAATGAATTGTTAATAATTGTAAGTCATTCCAATGTGAAGTTCTTTACGATATGATTGAAGAATATGCAGCAGACTTTGTAGAGAAATGAGTTCTCTAATTACAGGTCACCAACTTTGTAGAGACTAATTTCCTTCATATCCGACTCCAATAGATAGTATCACGTTAACTGAGTATTTAATGCAGGCCAAATCTCCTAATAGAATTATGGATTTACTCGAGATTATTCAAAAGCCTGAACACCATTTATAGAGGTAGTTTATTGTTAAAGATTGGTAAAA